AGGAGATAGAATCCATGTCTTTCACTTTTAGGCCTAGGATAGCCACTAGCCATGGGTGATTCGGAAAAGTTTCTGTCAAAGACACTTAAGACTTTGTGAACCTGTTGCTTTTGTGGGCATGGACAGTGTTGATCATAAGCAGTACATTTTCTCTCACTCCAAACAGAATTCTTAGTTGCTGTGAGAAGAGAAGGACCAGCAGTAAGGCATTAGGGGGACCCGTTATCTGACCGATATCCCTGCCCCCAACCCTACCTGCTCTATTTTCTTTGTCTTTATCCACTATCCCTTTTTAATTTTTGTTGTAGATCCTTCCTGCCAGAAGAAACTTACATTGGGAGGTCAACACCAGCTAGTGCACTTCTCTATAAAGCCTCAATGTATAGGACGGATTTCACATGCCCAGAGGCTGTTGAGCAAGCTTCATGTGCGCTGCAGTCAGAGGCCACCTCTTTCTTTGTGGGCCAGATGGGTCCTTGAGTGTATCCTTTCACATCACTCATTTTTGTCCTGGCTGTTGATGATCTGCCTAATACTTATTTTTTGCTCCCCAAACTCCATTTTCTCATTCTCACTGCTTATGTTATTACCCTTATTATTTCAGCTGCATAAATCAGAAAGAACTCCACTCTATACGTTTCCTTAAGAGACAACAGGTCCTCTCTTCAAAAACTTCATCATCTTCCTGATCTTTTTGAATACGATCGTATTGATGGTTGAAATAGGTGAGAACTGACATTGTATGAAAGAGGAAGTGAGGCCAGGCACGACAGCTCACATGTGTAATCCTAGCTAGCACTTTGGGAGGCGGAGGCGGGCAGATTGCTGGAGCTCAGGAGTTCAAGACCAGCCTGGGCAACATGGTGAAACCCTGTCTCTACTAAAAAATTACAAAAAATTAGCCGGGCATGGTGGCATGGCCTGTAGTCCCACCTACTCAAGACTTGTCTGAGTCAAGAGAATCCCTTCACCCCAGGAGGCGGAGGTTTCAGTGAGCGGAGATAATGCCACTGCATTCCAGCCTGGGCGACAGAGTACAACTCTGTCTCAAGAAAAAAAAGAAAAGGAAGTGGGTAGGAATAATTTTTTTTTCTAAATTGATCATTTTACATTTTTGAATGTCATTTGAATTGTGACATTTATATTAAGGACAATTATATTAAAAGCCTCCTAGAGTAGGATTTATACAACTGCTAAAATGTAGAAATATTGGCTGGGCACGGTAGCTCACACCTGTAATCTCAGCACTTTGTGAGGCTGAGGTGGTTGGGTAACTTGAGGTCAGGAGTTCAAGACCAGCCTGGTCAACATGGCGAAACCCCATCTCTACTAAAAATTCAAAAAATTAGCTGGGTGTGGTGGCGGGCAACTGTAATCCCAGCTACTCAGGAGGCTGAGGCAGGAGAACACTTGATCCTGGGAGGCGGAGGTTGCAGTGAGCTGAAATCACGCCACTGCACCCCATCTCAAAAAAAAAAAAGAAATATTAATATTTGGAGGGCTTTCAAGAGTATACTAGATACGGAGCATCTAGACACATAAAACTAGCTGTAATATGTAGCAATGTAACAAATCCACAAGGAACTGAACTTAGGAAGACCACTTTTATTTCTGCTGTGAGTTTAGCCTGACATTTGTTTGAATTAATGTTTTCTGTTAAAGATACTGGTGCCTATCCGTGAACGATCTAACATTTACATTTCTTTTTTTTTTTTTGAGACGGAGTCTTGCTCTGTTGCCCAGGCTGGAGTGCAGTGGCGTGATCTCAGCTCACTGCAAGGTCCGCCTCCTGGGTTCATGCCATTCTTCTGCCTCAGCCTCCCTAGTAGCTGGGACTACAGGCACCCGCCACCACACCCAGCTAATTTTTTGTATTTTTTAGTACAGACGGGGGTTCTTTTTTTTTTTTTTTAGACGGAGTCTGGCTGTGTCACCCAGGCTGGGGTACAGTGGCCAGATCTCAACTCACTGCAAGCTCCGCCTCCCGGGTTTACGCCATTCTCCTGCCTCAGCCTCCCGAGTAGCTGGAACTACCGGGCCCCCCACCTCGCCCGGCTAGTTTTTTTTGTATTTTTTAGTAGAGACGGGGTTTCACCATGTTAGCCAGGCTGGTCTTGATCTCCTGACCTCGTGATCCGCCGTCTCGGTCTCCCAAAGTGCTGGGATTACAGGCTTGAGCCACCGCGCCCGGCCAGAGACGGGGTTTCACTGTGTTAGTTAGGATGGTCTCAATCTTCTGACCTCGTGATCCGTCCGCCTCGGCCTCCCAGAGTGCTGGGATTACAGACGTCAGCCACCGCACCCGGCCTAACATTTACATTTTTACAAGTATATTTAGAAGATTATTTAAGTACAAATAAGAAAGCTCACAAAGTATGAAACGATAGGTACTACTAAGATATTAGCTGAGCCAAAAAAAATTACTTAAAAGGAAATGATTCTTAAACCAATAATAAATTATATGAAAATTATTCAAAACATAAGGTTGTCTGCAAAATCAGTGAGCTCATTTGTTGATAATCTCAAACTGCTCAGAAATGATGAAAGGACAGTAGAACTACTCATTTGTATCATTTTCACTCTTGTGGGGAAGTCTCCCACTTTATTTTTTAGAGGCAGAGTCTCATTTTGTTGCTTAGGTTGGAGTGCAGTGGTGTGATCATGGCTCCTTGCAGCCTCGCCCCTCAGGGCTCAATTGATCCTTCCACCTCAGCCTTCTGAGTAGCTTGGAGTACAGGTGCGTGCCACTAC